TTTGTCAACACTGGCTGGCCAGAACAGGTCAACCGTCAGGAGAATTACGCTATTAATATGGCCGGGACTATCCAGCAAGATCCGTTTATTCCTAAATGGTATGCATGCACTTTAGTCAGGTGATGGGTTTGGTAAAAATTTTAACAAAAGATTAATATTTCCTTTTCAATGTTACCGGACTGGCCAATACGTCTTGACTTCTGGAAAGCGTTTTAAGACAGCGTTATCAAAGCACTAACAATGACTTTAAAATGATTCTTTAACGAATCAGTATTTATAATTAAATGGATTACCATTTAAATGTACACAGCGCAAGGGCCGTTTGCAATGTAACAACTTGATGTTATTCATTTTAACATATAGCATTTCGAAAAGACTCTAATTTAAAGCGAACATTCATAGTGTCTCGTTTGTTTGGACGCATAATGCATCTTGGGCCCGTCTTTATACTCGAGACATAACCAGACGAACTACAAATGTTTGCTCAATTTCGTCAAGATGGCCCGGACATGCTAATGCGGCTTTAGCAGAAGAGCATTAATGCGTGCTCTGATGCGGCCAATTTTAAAACGGCCTACGTTCTTGCAACCTAATATGTTGGTGAAGGCCTTTTGTTTCGTCAGACGCTTAGCTTGATATGGGGTTTGAAATGTCAAATATGTTAAAGTAATTTATATATTTCACTGTAGTAACAGTTTGGGCACATGAACAGTTCGGCGTCTGAATTAAAACCGTCCCGAATTCGAGCAAGTCTAGGCTAAGTAGAGCGAGGCTAAGTCTAGCCTCACAAGCAAGCGTTTTTAGGGTAGTCGTATTTCGTCCCTCCCTCACCACTCTACTAAAAACGCTGGCGTGGGAAGCGTGGAGGGGGTGGGGAATGTATGTGTCGTCCCAAATCAATGTAAATTGCCATTCCTTGTTGCTATGTAACATACTTTTTTATTGCGTGATTGCGACGTTTTTACAGGGTACCGGCCTCATAAATAACGCCGACTACTTGGGCAATAGCAGTAAAAGAAAATGCCATATATCAGACAAGGCTTTTAATTTTTAGTATCTTTGCTTGTTGTGAAAATTACGTTGAAATGTTACCCAAAGTAAAATGTTGCAGCTTCTTAATTTAAATAAACTTAACTTTACAGGAGAAACTGCCGGATTTCAATCTACTTCGCTGCACAGCTAATTAAACACCGATCGCTACGAGTCTACGCTTAGCTGATACAGCCATAAGACTCGGTCAGAACGTTCAATATCACAGTTGTTTTTGAAAAAATGGTAAAGGAAAGAGGGAATATCTCTGTCCCATTGAATTGGCTTTGTTAAGAAGACAAATGAATATTTCAGTCATTCAACGCCACAACGAAGCCACATCATTAATCTTCTCTTAAATATCTTACACCGGGAATGGACGTCATGCTGTAGTCACTGAAATGTCTTTGCTTCCAATGGAACCACGAATTAACATCTTGTATATCTCAAATCAAAAAAAAACTAAAACAGAAAAGAGAATCTAAACCTGTGTTTGCATTTGGAAGTTTCCTTTCCAGATACTGATAAAAGAAAGAAAGCGTGATATTAATAAGACAGACATCCTTATCGACATCCAAATGCATACATGATTTCCAAGGTAACAGACAGTTATCGTGCGAATGAGTCAGGGGATTAGAATCCAAGAGGATGAGCAGGGACTGTGTTCATGTTTCTTATGACTTCCGTTGCTATCCTTGCCATTTTCGTGTCATTGGAAAGTTTGTTGGAGTCGTGTAACGAGTCTAGACTCTGTCTTATCCGGTCAGCAGCCTACAAAGATAAGAACAATGACATGAGTAAGAGTTTACCCTTGGACATTGTTTGTGAACGCCCATTACTCTCAGAGAAAGCTGCCAAGGCCAGGAATTGGGAGTCGCTGTTGACCCGCCTATTATTCGAACCCCTGGGCGTTGCCCGCAACCTGTTGGGAAAAAAAAGAAAAGAAAGAAAAGGGGGCAACCTGTTGCCATTGCAGTGTAGCCTGAAAGCAAGGTAGCAATATCCAAATGAAGAGCGTTTAATCACAGGATAAAACAGGTTGTCTTATATACATCAGGGCTCGAAAGAAATGACTACAGGTGAGTAAGAATTAAATAAAGATTCCTTTTCCTCCTAGCTCTTAATCTGCATCAAAGAGCTTATTAGTTTTTGATAATTGATAATTCATGAGAATGATTTGGTTATGATTGCCGGGGTCTTTGAATCAATTACTTAAGCTCAGAATTAGTCAATACCTTTTGTCATGCACTTTTCGCTCTATACTAAGTGAATTGTTACTTAACGTGACAATAGAAAAGGTTTAATTTCTAGTGATGATATATTTTATAGCGCGTTTTTTTTTATAACTCTTTGTACTTCTAAACATAGCAAATGGTTTGAAGCCAGATCAGAAGTCGTGTCATAAGTAGATGGAACGGAACTGTCGTTTTTAGAGGTTGCCGATAGTCTTTATGATCATTTTCAGCGTCTCTGCTAGGCTTTACTCTGTTTTTCACTTTGTCTTCAGTTATCGCTTATTTTCTTTTGTCTTCTCTTACCTTCAGAAAGGACAGGCCCAAGTACAAGAACGATAAACCCAACAACAGCGTACATTATCTTGCGCTCATAAACAACAGAAACACAAGAAAAATCGACCCTTAAATGTACTAGCACAATGCAGCTGTCACATCTGCTGGTGAACTTGTGAAAAAAGCTTAAGCTGGGACAATACCAGCTAAAAAGCTGTGTTATCATTTAATAAACGGAAAAGTTATTAAATTTGATTTATTTTATTCAGCTGAAAAGAAGATCATTACGTCTATCATGGTGATAAAGAGAATAATAATGGTGCTTTTAATAAGTCAGGGACGGTGAAATGTGGCGATCAACAAAAAGCACTTTACGTTGTGATCTGATCGTTCGTGAAAAGTCAGGCGTACTATCAGCTAGCCTGTCAAGCAGAGCAGACGTTTTTAGGAGAGTTGTGTTGCCCTCCCTCGATGGGGAGGGAGGACTGATACGAACTCTCCAAAAACGCAGCCGGGCCCGAGCCAGATCAATTTTTAACTTTTAGAAAATTATACCAATGCTGTTATGGTTGACAAAGAGCACAAACTTTTTGTCTTTACTAATCAAAATGGCTTGATAAAATATCACCAGCCATCCATTCGATAATAATATGTAATATTTATATAGCGCAAATTAACATACGGCAACCTTTAATATTTAATATTTATATAGTGCAAATTAACATACAGGAGGATATGATCAAATGTAGTTCAATCCCTTTATTCATACTCGGTTGAGAAGGAGACTAGGGGCGCTTAACCATTTGTCAACACTGGCTGGCCAGAACAGGTCAACCGTCAGGAGAATTACGCTATTAATATGGCCGGGACTATCCAGCAAGATCCGTTTATTCCTAAATGGTATGCATGCACTTTAGTCAGGTGATGGGTTTGGTAAAAATTTTAACAAAAGATTAATATTTCCTTTTCAATGTTACCGGACTGGCCAATACGTCTTGACTTCTGGAAAGCGTTTTAAGACAGCGTTATCAAAGCACTAACAATGACTTTAAAATGATTCTTTAACGAATCAGTATTTATAATTAAATGGATTACCATTTAAATGTACACAGCGCAAGGGCCGTTTGCAATGTAACAACTTGATGTTATTCATTTTAACATATAGCATTTCGAAAAGACTCTAATTTAAAGCGAACATTCATAGTGTCTCGTTTGTTTGGACGCATAATGCATCTTGGGCCCGTCTTTATACTCGAGACATAACCAGACGAACTACAAATGTTTGCTCAATTTCGTCAAGATGGCCCGGACATGCTAATGCGGCTTTAGCAGAAGAGCATTAATGCGTGCTCTGATGCGGCCAATTTTAAAACGGCCTACGTTCTTGCAACCTAATATGTTGGTGAAGGCCTTTTGTTTCGTCAGACGCTTAGCTTGATATGGGGTTTGAAATGTCAAATATGTTAAAGTAATTTATATATTTCACTGTAGTAACAGTTTGGGCACATGAACAGTTCGGCGTCTGAATTAAAGCCGTCCCGAATTCAAGCAAGTCTAGGCTAAGTAGAGCGAGACTAAGTCTAGCCTGACACGCAAGCGTTTTTAGGGTAGTCGTATTTCGTCCCTCCCTCACCACTCTCCTAAAAACGCCTACGTGGGAAGCGTGGAGGGGGTGGGGAATGTATGTGTCGTCCCAAATCAATGTAAATTGCCATTCCTTGTTGCTATGTAACATACTTTTTTATTGCGTGATTGCGACGTTTTTACAGGGTACCGGCCTCATAAATAACGCCGACTACTTGGGCAATAGCAGTAAAAGAAAATGCCATATATCAGACAAGGCTTTTAATTTTTAGTATCTTTGCTTGTTGTGAAAATTACGTTGAAATGTTACCCAAAGTAAAATGTTGCAGCTTCTTAATTTAAATAAACTTAACTTTACAGGAGAAACTGCCGGATTTCAATCTACTTCGCTGCACAGCTAATTAAACACCGATCGCTACGAGTCTACGCTTAGCTGATACAGCCATAAGACTCGGTCAGAACGTTCAATATCACAGTTGTTTTTGAAAAAATGGTAAAAGAAAGAGGGAATATCTCTGTCCCATTGAATTGGCTTTGTTAAGAAGGCAAATGAATATTTCAGTCATTCAACGCCACAACGAAGCCACATCATTAATCTTCTCTCAAATATCTTACACCGGGAATGGACGTTACGTTGTTGTCACTGAAATGTCTTTGCTTCCAATGGAACCACGAATTAACATCTTGTATACCTCAAACCAAAAAAATACTAAAACAGAAAAGAGAATGTCAACTATGTTTGCATTTGGAAGTTTCCTTTCCAGAAACTGATAAAAGAAAGAAAGCGTGATATTAATAAGACAGACATCCTTATCGACATCCAAATGCATACATGATTTCCAAAGTAACAGACAGGTATCGTGCGTATGAGTCAGGGGATTAGAATCCAAGAGGATGAGCAGGGACTGTGTTCATGTTTCTTATGACTTCCGTTGCTATCCTTGCCATTTTCGTGTCATTGGAAAGTTTGTTGGAGTCGTGTAACGAGTCTAGACTCTGTCTTATCCGGTCAGCAGCCTACAAAGATAAGAACAATGACATGAGTAAGAGTTTACCCTTGGACATTGCTAGGTGTTTCATGGCGACGGCTGTCGCTTCTCGCACATCCGCGCCCATGTCGCGCGCTCTAGGGACTAATCGTCACTGGCCCACCGATCATTGTCAGATCTCGTGAGTAATGAAATCAGCAGCACCAAATTTCGCTGCAAAGTTAACCGGAATCAAGGTCAAGTACGCATTGTGTATTTATGAACTGTTTCATCAAAGGACTTGAGTTGGCTCGATTAGTTTCCAGGGGCCTGTTCTCGAAAGTCCCGATAATTAACGGGCCCGGTATGCTGTCTCCGTTTACATTAAAGATCGAGCTTTCAATATCTTTGCATCTAACATGATAAAACTATCAGTTAATGAATCAAAATGGAATAGTTTGCCTGCCAGGACCCGCGCTCTCATTCTTTATATTTCGATTTGAAAATGTGATTTCGGTCCCGACAAGTTAGTGGGACATTCGAGAAACGGGCCCCAGGACTATTCAGCCCTGATGGATCAATATTGGCAGTAAAACGATTAAGGGTCATTTTCGCAAAGTATAGTTCAGCATACATAAGGTATAACCGTCTGAAAAAAAGAAGCTCGGAACATACTGAAAATGCAAAACTAACTCTACCTCATCGCAGAAAACTTGTGCTAGAATCGCTTCATGTTGGGCTGTTGATACTTTGTTGTTGAGGGACCGAGACGCTCTAAAGAAAAAATAAAAAGTCGCATTAATTGTAAAGAACATTACCAACAAAGAGGGCAGTAGCAAAAAAAGGCAACGGGGAAAAAATGAAGGATCGTTCATGACGTCTAAGATAGCTGAATAGGCCACTTCCGAGTTCCAGAAACCCTCACTTTTAAAATGAGGCCAAGTGCAAAACCTTTCTTGTCAAAATGAGTTTTATTTGCATGAGAATGAAAAGTCATTTCCACATCAAAGGCTGAGCACTCGTTTTGATACAGAGACCTGGGGGAACTCAGAAATGGCCTATTCGCCGTGCTCTAAGCGAGTGAAAAACTAGGTACGACCGCAAAGCTTCTTGGGTTCGTTTGAGGCCGAACAGCATGAAGGTCAACCAACATGGCGCACTACAAGTGCTGTTCCAAACTACGATAACAGATTCAGAAATGCAACTAATCCCCAAGGACCCAAATGCACCAGATATGTATTCGTCCGTAAGAATAACCTGAAGAGGAACGCTTAACAGGTGGATTGGTGCTGTACTCCATGTTTTTTTTTGTTTGTTTTTTTTTGCAGCATTTTCAAACGATCCCAAGAGCTTTTGCGGTCATAAGTCGTACCAGTTCCCCGCTCGTTTAAAACATGGCCAGTTATTGCAACATTGGAGGGATCAGTTACAGAAGAACAGGTTATTTTCTTTAATTTGTGCTCGGACAGCAGAGTGGTGAATCACCTAACTCTGTAACAGGTCACAGAGTTACTTACCGGGAAAGTACGGCAGCCATGCCGTAAATGTCAATAGCAGCATCTGCCAGTCTCTTTAATAAGAACTGTTGATCTGTGAAAAAATAAAACGTAAGACTGAACAAGCTTGTTACCGGCCGGTTAAGAAATCCGATTGCTTGAAGAAAAGGCGAGCTCACGGACTACTACTACTACTTAACTGCCACTAACCGCGGCGCTTTAGCGAAAGCTATAATAACTACAAAGAAAATTTAAAATCAACTCCAAGAAGTAGTTGTTTTCCTTCCTGGTAGAGTTAAAATCAAGAGGAAGGGTAACAATAACTCTTCCGGCAATAAGAGCCACTTTACCACCAAATATGGATTAGATATGGAGTTAAAACAACCCCCCTTCCCCCCAAATGGGATTATTCTATATCTACTTTTTTTTTCTTCACTTTTAAGTCAAAATAGATATGACAATTTAATGTGCTGTATCCTCAGCAAGTGGACCCACATAATCATTAAAAACCAAATGGTTAAGATAATACGATATCTCCAGTTGCTTACCGACAATTTTTTTCCCATGTCTTATAAGTAACTTTTCTGCTGTTGCAGCAAAGTCTCCCGCCGCCACGGAAGCCTACAAAGACACAAGTTCACAGTTCACGCTCATGTATAACCACTAAAAAAAATTATTTCAAAAGTCGGCAAGGACTGAGGCTAAGTTTTAGCCTTGGCTTAAATTTTTTCTTCTTTGTTTCAATATTAATACTGTACATTACCCGCTGATACCCGAAAACCGGAAAAAAAAACTTTAATTCTACGCATTATCAAGAAATGTTACTAAAACGAGGAACAAAAAAATGAGGAGGAGCACAGGGAAACGGGAAAATGAAAAATAAGAACATTACATACTACATAAGATACTGTTCCCATGTTTCATTTCTCCGTTTCCCGTTTCTCGTTCCTTTTTTCACGTTTCACTAACATCCCAACTACACTCGCTTCACATCAGATTTTTTTCTTTTCGTTCCTTCCCATCTCTCTTCATTTCTATTAATCATCAGGGTCTGAAGCCTTCGATTGGAGTAAAAAATTGAGCTTAGATCTCCTTACCAGCTTAGCGGACGAGGCTAGGTCTGGGTGAACGTGCTCTGTTAGAGAAGGACCTGATTTTATCCCAACAGCCCTATTGACACGCAAAACAAACAAATTAATCAGCAACAAACACAACAACGACAACAAAACAGCAAGAAGAAGAAATAAGATGCTGAGAGACAACTCTCAAGAGTCGTCCTTTCTACAGATTTCTCTTCCTCAGGAATCTTAATATAATTTTCTTCACGAGAGAGAACAAACGAAGCGAAAAATTAACCCGTTCCACTTACAACATTTCCGCGCAAAACAAGCTCTAAGGCTAAGTTACGTAAGTTAATACATTTCTTTGTCCAACGGCGTGCAAAATTTTTACTTAAGGCAGCAGTAACCATTCCCTTTTAGAAGATAATTTGTTTCTGTCAACTGAGTTTTACAAATTTTTTCGGCTATGACCCCACGATTGTGGTCAAATCGATAGTTACTGTATCGGCGACAACGTATACACACGTACCTTTTTGATCGTTTTAAACCTTCGGAGACAACTAGTCCCAGGTTGGCTGCTGGATTTTTTAGCGACTTTTGAAGTTCTCTTAGATATTTGCCGGCGTCCTGTTGGGCAAAGCAAGGGATAGGAATCAAATCAAATAGCAAACTGATGGCGCTTTTTTTCGAATTGCAGTTGACAATGGAGGTCAAAGGTGTTGGGAACATCCCAGTGATAATTATCAGTAAACCTGACGACCTCCCCTCTCACACTCCAAACAAAATTTAATTTTGAGCAAAATGGGTGGAAAATAGTCTGTTTGGGTTGGCAATGTTGTCGAAGGGGAGTTGGGGGTGGGAGAATAAAGGGATGAACCCAAAGTCGAACAAAAGACTGTTTAAGGAGCAGAGTTCTATGTACAATCTATAACAATTACTTGGAAGGGTCTTTCCACAGTGTCCTGAGTTCTTTTGACCTCCATTGAACGTGTAAGATAGTTTTAAGGCAAGTTGATATAAAGGGTTTTAGTTTATCGCAATTGTAGCGGAATAAATATCTAGCGCGTCGTCTTTTACTGGACAAAATTAATTGTGTGTAAAAAATTACAGAATTTGCAGTGGATTACCTGGAGACCGGTTAGTGAAACAAATAACCTCAAAATGTCGTTGGTGCCTTCAAATATCCTGAAAATCCTAAGATCACGCATCACTCTTTCAGCTCCACAGTCCTTTGAAACATCAAAACAACAACAAAGACAAAGTTCAGTATAAGACAGACTGAGAGAAACCAACAACCAAACACAAAACAACCGGATAGAGAACTAAGCGTTCAAACCCTTCTTCATGCAGCCAAATACGATTTTTCCGACACACCTTTCGAGGTATGATTAGACGCTACAATGTTAATTTTACTTACCTTCATGTATCCCATTCCACCAAGAATCTGAATACACTCGTCGGCAACAAACCACGCTGCTTCCTAAAATTAAAATAGGCAAATGAATCCATTAACCTGCTACTGCCGTTAGCAAAACTAGTTGAGCTTCAGGCAGACTTTTTTTATCTTCGCCCCGACACCAAAGGGACAAGCTAAGCGCTCTGACTTTTACAGATAGGTCCCGGTTTTCATAAGGGTAAACTATCTGAAATAGGGGCCGAGGTGTCTGTATTATAGAGCTTCAACTGTACTGTATGGCAGACAGCACTGCTTGCAATACTTACCGAAGCATACACTTTGCTGATGGCTGCTTCGAGTTGGAAATCAATGGCTCCTTGATCCATGTTTGCACTGATCATGTAGGCCATAGACTGAAACAAAAAGGAAAAAAGTGTATAAAAAAACCCCGTCAAGTTAAGCGTAGCAACAAATGAAGAAGATGACACTTAATGAAATCTGACTCCCAAATGACAATAGGGAACTTAAGCAACGACGTCTTTGAGTGACGAGCGCCAACCGGAAGTGAGACCTTTCCACCTTTAACCCTTTAAGTCCCAATATCAACATACAAATTCTCCAAACTGATCTCCATACATTTCCTTTATGAATCAGTTGAGAGAATTTAATAACAGATCAAGGTATTTTCTCTTTGGTGATCATTTGTTGATTCTCATAATCTTATCTCTAGACAATTACTAGATGTTGTTAGGAGAAAATTGATGTTGGTCACTATTGGGGTTTAAAGGGTTAATATGCCTTGACGCTACAAGTCCACTTTCGGTTGAAGCGTGTCGCACACATAACGGTAATCTACTGTAGCGCACCTCAGTAACATACTGAAGCATGGCCATTCTTGCTAACTTTTCTTGAATGACACCAAACTCTTCCAGTTTTTGGCCAAATTGAACTCTGCTTGCTGCATGGTCCGCCTGGTATAAAAAAAAAAAACAAACAACAGCATTTGAACGATGCAAATGATTTGAGCCAAACAGACATTTCAGAAGTTCAGGTACATGTGCTATAAAATCATTATCATCGTGTGGAAGATTGTAATCCCTAAAACTTATGATGAGAGACTGACTTTTTACAACTGGTAGGAAAGTCACTGTCCCGCTTAAACGTGATGACTTCTACAAAGTATTAAACGCAGGTTGTCACAACGTCAGGCAATGTCCACAATAGTCCTGCATGTACATGTATCTAGGACTAACCTCACCCGGACGATCTTAATCCGAGGTGTAAATAATATTATAGACTTCTTTCCAATAAACGACCCATTGTTAGCCTGTTCCAGCCGTCCAGTTAGTGGGGACAGCGCAACGACACGTAAGCAGAAAAAAAAAAAAAACACCGCCAAGGGGTTCTTTCTCTCCTAATTTTATTTCGCATCACATTCCGCTACTGTACATGTGTTTGTTGTACCAGAACGCCTCGAACAAGCTAACCAAAGAACACGAGTGCAAAAAGAAAAATCCAAAACGAAAAGGGAAAATAGAGCCACAAAAAACGCCTAATTGCGATCCGAGTGCAAAGGCCATACAGATCTACATGTACTTACAGCCTTGGCTATTAGTCCCTTCATGGTCCCTGAAAGCGCAGCGGCCATTCCGAATCTTCCGTTGTTTAGAATGTGCATGGCAACCTTAAAGCCATTACCAACACCTGACAGGATGTAAATAAATAAATAAATAAATAAATTTTATAGCACGTGCTACATGTTTTTCCTTCGAGATGTGATTGGTTCACTTGATTGTAAACTCGTGTTTTGGTTGGCTGGAATAAAACCTTCTTTTACTCCTGTTTTAAGGGGGGAAGTGGGGGCGTAACTATACGTAATGTGGGAGGTGAGGGGATCATATGGGACATTTACTTCACCAACAGATAAACCAACCAAAATTGTACACTATGTAAATGTTTTTTACGAATCATGTTACTCTTATAATAAAGCAAATTAAAAACCTGTGTATATTGGATAACCCTCCCTGAGCTACAGAATGCCATTCACTTGTTACTACTACAATGTAACTATGAATGTTAACAACACGTTTTTCAAATTATAATTAAACCAACCTCCCAAGACATTTTCCAAAGGTACTGGAACATTATCAAAGTGGACCTGACAAATAAAAGAAGGTTGACGGCGGATTTACAATGTACATATCATTAACCACTAAACTAATTCATATGTAGAATATTTTCTCGGTCTTTGTTGCTACCGTCACCGCAAACGGCTGTGCTTCTCGCTACGCTGATTTCTCCATTTTGACATACATTACTTCCCTTTAATCAAGTTTTCGTTTTTGGAAGAGGTTTCACTTCAATTCACATCATTGAAATTAGAAAAACCAGTTTCCTATAGCAAGGTGAGATAAGCGTTAGGGTCCCCTTTTGTGAACCTTCAGCGTGAAGGCTTGTCCGATAGCCCAGGACTGATGGATTTTGCTATAGGGCTAGTGAACTCTGTTCTCAACTCAACTACAAGTGAACTTTTTTGGGGAATTCAAATTACAGAAGAACTGTAATCAATCCTGCTCATCAACAAATATTTTCGGGCTAATTTAAATGACTATTGGGCTAGCAAATGCTAGCTACAGCTGGCCCGAATGACAAGCTGTAAAACTGTCTCTCTTCGCACCCTGACCTTATCATTTGAATACATGAAAACTGCCGTAAAACTTGGATAAATGCAGTTTTGAGAGCACTGACCTCCGCAGTGTTGGAAGCCTTGATTCCCATTTTCTTCTCTGGCGGACCACTGAAAACAACGAGACAAAAACAGCTTAATTCTACTGAAGTTTTGATGACATAGTACTGGGGAACCAACCCGTTTACACGATCCCTTACTAACAGTTAATACCACCAAAGACTGCAAAACATTCCAATTTTTTGCTTACGTGTAGGTCGAGAATGCGCGAGCGGTGAAATGAAAACCCTGAGCCGCGCATTGATAAAGCGATTTTGAGAAAAAAGGCCGACTGTTTCGCAGTCTATAATACCGTTAGCTGATGATGCCCCTTGAGTGGTCGCTGCCGACAAGAAAAAGCAGCAGTGACTACTGATCGTGGCAGTAGGGTCGCGGCATTTGCGGCAGGTACGGTCACTAGAGTATGTATTAGGATGAAAACTTATGATCCTTCTCACCACAAATCGGATGAAATGATAACAAATCGATCGGAGAGAAAGTACATCCAAAGTCAAAGAGATGGTCGCTCTGTGAACACGTGTAACTCTGAATGTCAAAAAATCTGTTCAATTTACAACACCCTTTTTGCTAGAGATATCGTGTAGGTCTTACTCTATGTGAGCCGAAAATACAGGACAACAATGGATAAAAACTTACGTTGTTACTCCACCAAACCCCCTCTCAACAATGAAAGCTGTTACTTTGTCCTTTGTTTCGCCTGTATTAGGATCTGTTATGGGAGTCTGAAAAGAGTAATGACAAACATTTTGATATTTACATTTTTAATTCTAAATAATATTTATTTACATTTTAATATTTACATCGCTAGCCTAATCGGATAAAGATTATTTTGATAATATATTATGTAGTTTCAAGTTCTGTTAGATCATAAGTTTGATCGTCTACCTTGGCAAAGACAGTGAAAATATCGGCTAATCCTCCATTGCTGATCCTGTGATTTCAAATAAGAGTATGCAATTAATAATAATTATGTAAAGACGCGCATTTGTGTAAGGTAATTTACTTCATTAAGTGTTTAAGGTTTGGCATTACATCTGTACATTACGAATTAGTGTTGTGACCAAAGCATTGATATTACAGGGAGAAATTTCATGCTGAGTCACTCTAAGAGCTTTTGAAAGGGTTAGTAATGTACCTACCACAGCTTGCCTCCATTTAAGATGTAATGTTTACCATCCTTGCTTAGTTCAGCCTGTGTTCGTATAGACTGTTAAAAGGAAGAGTAAATGAAAGTTAAGTACTTTTAGAACTTAGACTTGTTAGCGTTCTCCCTAAATTTTAGCTCAGTAGGTAAGGGACCATTCATCGCCGGTAAAGCAAAAAATGTGCGCACTTTCCAGGGGAGGGGGTAGTAGAGTGAAGGACATGGCTTCGACCTCGCTGTGAAATTAGGAGCTACGTTCTCTGAAACGTCATTCCCCCTCATTTGAAGTCCTATTTTACGCAAATCAGCTGTTGTTATCTCAATTCAAAATGTTTGATTCTAATAATTGTGCTCTGTCTTCAAATGCTCTCTTTCCAAAATGCGTGGCCCATAAAAAGAAAACCTGTGTATGCTTTAGTAAAGCTTTAGTACACTTCCATGTATTCATTCATTACCTTGATCAGATCGGATCACAATTTACGTATTCTTTAAAACAACTTACTTAATTTTAATAAACCTTCAAGCGGTTTCAGGCGGTAAGAAGTGTTACTTCAGACAGTAAATTTTACCGGTTACCGCCTGATAAGGAGAACAATGACTTGTACCAGAGAAACCTCTTCAAATCATTCTCTCTTGACCTCTTTTTATACCAATACAGGGGAAGAATTTGTCAGTAATCCTAAGGCAAGCGACACAAGCTTTTTGCCTTTAACGAGATTGTGAAGCGAGCCAAACACGTGACACAGCAAAACAAAACCGTGTGACCTAGAAGGACTTTGCGAAAGTCTAGGGCGAATGTTAAGATGAAGTATGAGGAGGTGGGTGACCAGAAAAGAGACATCTTGTGTCCTTTTGCTTGTACCCCGTTTGCTGCATTCCATCCAGTTGCAATTCCAGATGCAATCTTAGTTAATAAAAAATAAAAGCTAATATATCGCTTTCAGGGATAAAACAAATTTAGAAGGAAAATAACCAGGAAGAATCCCCACTGAGGTGACCCAGTTGGCTATTTTAAAAGTGCCACCAAGGAGTTGAATTCAGGACTACTGAGAACAAATAAGGCTAGCGGTTAGGGTGGGACATGAACTCAGACCCTTCAACTGTTTGGCAAGGCTGCCTCCTGTAAACATCTTGTTGCGAAACAAAAAAAAAATGCTTCATGACTTTTAATGGTTATAGTACAGAAAGCCTACCCCTGCATCGGATCCACTACTTGGCTCTGTTAAACAGAATGCTGCCATTTTTTCACAAGGAGCAACCTACAGGAATATTAAAAAGGGAATTGAAAGAGTTTTACACGTATCTATAGTAATTCTATAAATCAGAGTATCATTTTTCTTTATTTTTTCAGACAAGAAACAAAAACTTGTTAAATGGTACTTACCAGTGGTAGGTACTTCTCTTTTTGCTCCTTAAAAATAGAAAAAATAAATTATTTTTCTGTCTACAATACACAATCATTATAACATACCAGGATGCAAAGAAAATCATTTTTACAGCTGGCCATTTGGGCAAGCTGAAGCTAGCATTTACTAGCCCAGACATCATTTCAACTAGCCCCTAAAGCTTTATGATGAGCAGAATTGATTTTGTAGTTCTTCTGTTATTTGAATTCCTCAAAAAACATCACTTGGTTGCCCTTCAGGCAAGTTAAAAACAGAATTCACTAGCCCGATAGCAAAATCCACTAGCCCTGGGCTATCGGACACTTCTTTCTTTGCATGCTGCATACAAGTAAATTGTATTATTCTTAAACATGGACAGTCTATTTAGAGAATTCAACACAAGTCATATTTAGGGTACGGTAAAATTCCGAAAATAAGCACCTCCAAATATAAGCCCCCCGATTCGGTAACGCAAAAAACCCTCCGTTAAATCACCCCTCCAAATATAAGTCCCCTGGGGGCTTGTACTTGGAAAATTGCCCTCAAATACAACATAAAACAAAGCAAAAACCGTAAATTTACTTCCAAATATAAGGCTAGCCCAATCGATTTTGAAATGCAAATTTCCCTCCATAGATAAGCCCCTCCGAATAATTATAAGCCCCTAAAAAAGGGCCTTTGAAAAATATAAGCCCTGGGGCTTATTTTCGGAATTTTACGGTATTCAGTAAGACAGATCTTCATGTGTACAGGTCTGTAAATGAAGCTAACTCACCTTATTTCCATGAAGAAGAATTCCTTTGAATCCAATTGACTGATGTGCTCCAAGAGTGATTCCTACAGCCAGATCATGGGCACCAACGATTTCCACAAGCCTGGCATACTAGAAATTTATTAAATAAGCAATAGTTAACATCCTCATGTTTTGATATACTTGAACTTGATTCTTGTATTTGCAATACTTATTAGATCTTATTAAACGATTATAATTACCTGGGTGTTAGTTAGACCAAGTCCACCTAAATCTGTTGGCACCTGAGATTATAAGATGGAATAAGTATTGTTTAAGTACAGTACCGCTCAAAAGTAAGTTGACAGTCAGTAGCATCTCAATTCTCGATTCTCAAAACTTTCAAGAATCGAGAGTTGAGTTGCAAAATACAATGATCTCTCGCCTGACTGATGTAAGTGTGGTTTTGTAAATACTTTGTGAGAGGAGGGGGATTTAAGGGGGCATTTTGAATGTTGAAGTATCAAATAATACTAATGATTGTTGTTCACTCAAAACAATTCTCCAATTCTGATATGCTTAAAGAAATCCCCCCAATAATGTTTCATAAACATTATGGACTATTAGTGCTGACCAAATTTGGAATACTTTTGTTCTGATTTGTATTCGATGACTGATGATGGCAAATAACTGTTTTGAAGATATCCTACAATGTAATCAGGAGGTAACGATATTAGAGCTTATGAAAAACATGTATCTACCGGATCTGTTTCAAATCAATACAAAAATTAACTTACAATTAATTGGCTTTCGTAAACTATTATTGTGCAATTTTTCTTTTCATTGTCTTGGTTGCTAGTGGGAAGGGGGGGGGAGGTGCAGGGGTGATACCCCCTCTTCCATCTGTGGATAATGGACAGTAAAGTGTCTGGTATGCCATACTGTTTTTAGCCTCATCCAAGTTTTTAATAGGTCTGCATCTGAATGCCAATATATAACTATGTAGGAACATATACTGTAGACCTAAATTTACCTGCAGACCAAAAGCACCCATTTCCTTCAGACCTGCCAATGTGCTATCTTCTACTTTTTCCAACTCATCATTTTTCATAGGGTCATTCTGTTCCTACATGATCAAAGATGCAAGTGACAGAAATGAATGAATTAATAACTACAATCAAATACAATTTGACATTTTAGAAAGTAAAATTACACTTCACATAATGTCGTGGTTAACTTGGTTTGGTTTACAAATTTCATTTTCATTTGAAACCAGATTTTTTTTGTTTTTGTCTTTTTTCGTCCCATATTACAGTCAAAGCAGGTCAAGCGCACCCTCCAAGATTCTATTCATGAATTGATTATTTGAAAAATGAATCCGTTAGTGGTTCCCGTATCTATTGTCATATTCAAAGCGGCATTTCTGCTTGCGTAATGAGCAGTGAATATCTAACGAGAACTTCTCTGTATTAGGTCAGATTGAAAATCTTCGAATGGATTATATTTCTTAGAAGACATTTACATCAAATTCAGGAAACTGAGCTGGTAGAAATTTCGTAACTGCCTCGCGTGTGAATTCACGGCTCATTACGCATGCAAGAATGCAGAGATGAATCTGAAATCTACAACTACCAACGGATTCAACTTTCGAATAATAAATTCATTAATGGGAGCTTGGTGGTACACTTGACCTGGCTTGACTGTAAGGTAGTGGTTTGCATTGGGCACAACGAAAATAAGTGAAATCAAATAAGAAAAATCTGTACCACAATATAATAACTGTCTGGATGGTTAGTACCAGTTAGTATTAAAACAAAACCATACCTAAAAAGAATCATGGTATTAACCACTATTACCTCTCAGAGGTTATAAAAATTTGACCATTTTCATTCTACATGTGCAACTATGTATAATCCAACATTATACATGTACAAGGTGCTATTAAATATAGTGTGGTATTTATGTAGCATCCATGCTAATAAGGTTTGAGGTAAAGAACTGTATGTACTTTCTTCATTTATGTGCAGCCTGATAATTGTTGCTGAACAATATCTGTTGCAAAGTAATTATGTCCAACCTCAAAAAACTTGGTCACTGGATCTACATATGCTTGTAGTACACTTTCTTGCTCTGAGTCCAAGACTATGGGGGAAAAATGTGATATTGAATAAAAATAAAATAATAAAGAAAAAAATAAATAAATAAATAACTTGATAATGGTGACATGTCCTTGCTGGAAAGTCATGTTTTAATAGCGATACTTTTTATGCCTAAAATTTATAATACATGTATAGATCATTCTAAATAGTTTTTTGGGGGGCAGAAAACATGCATACATTATGGTTAATTTTTTATCTCTGTTAATTTTTGTTTTTCTCTTGTTCTTGAGTATGATAATATAAGCTAATGAAGTTTAAACAAAAGAAAAATAAAAATTACCTGAGATAAAAAATTAACTACAACATATACATAAAAAAATGAGAAGTAATTTAACAATATCATCAAATGAAACTTACATACTGAGTGTGTAGCTGAAATCTGACTGTGAAATCGACACTTAAATTTACCTTCTGGAAAAGGAAACACTTGCTCCACTTTTGGATTTCCTCTAAATAATCCCATGACAAATGATTTTGATTCTGTGGGCTACAAGTAGTAAATAAGACAGAGTTAGTGACTTTTTACACTCTATAAAGCTGTGATAATGCAACCATGGTACACTGTACAAAGCACATACCCTGTGCTGTGTTCTCACCAGGATTTTGCCTTGGGGAGTCCCAGGGCCCCCTCTGTTGAGAAATAGGGACTGTAAAACATTAGGGGGACAAGGGTATAACCTGAGCCCGGATAACCTGAGCCTGTGCTCCAAATGATCTGTTACATGAAGGAACTACCAGATCCAATATAGCAGATGGGGTACTTTATGATTTGATAACAATGCATGCACCAATCTTCACAATGTACACTGTACATGTACGTGGGACCAACAAAGTTATAAGAATAACAAAAATTAATAAAAACAAAAACAACAAAAAAGAACAACAAAACGAAATAAAATTAAAGACTTTGAATCTTTTGATATCATGTTTTTTATTCATTTGACCAAGCAAAATGCTGGGGTGTTAGGTTGACCATTAAAACTACTTAACTGTAGACATTCCAAAGTCTGTTTGACTCATAGCATGCCCCTGTGCAGGTGCATCTTCTTGGCTTTTTATGCACCATCTCAGATTTTCTTGTGGGAATTCGGCAAAGCCACAGCCTGGTGAGAACACTGCCTGTATATACTGTGTATGCTACAAACATAATTTCCTACCCAGCTCAGTTTGAGTGTAAGGAACAGAGCCAACTGTAATGGATTATCCAGGAGTCTTTCCAAATCTGCATCTCTCTCCCACACAAAAGAGCTTTTCTGTGCTTTAGTTTGAAATTTAGGCAATTTTTTTCATGGCTACAGTCTGACCTGAGCTTCAATACCCACAGTGCTCCCACTACACATTTACCAACAAAATTCTATATTCTTGGACTGTTAATAATAACAAAACTCTTCATGGAGATTGACTGTAGATATCATACAGTGTACACACCTTTGCCTCTGTGGCATACCCATGTTTTGTGTTTGGTGAACCAAGAAGAACGACTCTACATAAAAGATAATAAAATAAAATATTGAATAGGTAAAATAAATTATTATTGTATATACTAGGCTTAATATACCATTAAACCAATAGAAAGTTCAGTCTATGACCTGGTCAAGATTTTTATCTCACCAGGTCAAATCTCTCATTGCTATCTGTAATTAACAATCATTGAATGAGGCTGAGTATGATCTGAAGAATTATTGAGATCGAGGAGGGTGTTATCTGCCGACATTGATTCCTCCGAGATCCCCATCATGCTTCAGATGATACAAAAGCTGAATTCAATAGTTGTTTAATTAGTCATTCAAAATAATTCCTAGTTTAAAAACAAGCTAAAAGTTTAACATGCTTACATGTACCTCCATCAATGTTAAGTTCATCTTCAATAGTGCATGTTTATGGGCAACTTTAGGAGATAAAGGGTTGTTCAGTTCTACAAATATTCTCCAATAGCAGATGTTGCCTGTGAAGTTGTCTTCTTGCTGTTCTTGCTTATTTTAGCCAACAGTTCGCCTATTTCTTCCTCGTGAAAGGAGTGAAATGTTACGCCATTTTGCACTCACTACCAAGATCATCCCCAGGTATTCTCGGTTAACAGTTCAATAATCTGGCAGTTTTGCTGCACAATTGACGTCATTTTTCACATATCGCTTAGCCAATCAGAAACGGAGAAATATTTTGAATGAATAATAACTTCAATTATATGTTCAAAAGTTTTGTCCTTTTACTTCATGTTTTCAACTGAAATACATTTTATTCTTCCTACCCTAGCAATATGGCTGGCAAGATAAGCCTTAAAATAAAAGGAACAATTATGTGAATATGCCACGGCACATTTTATGTAAAATACAATGGTTAAATAGTTTACAGCGTTGAGCAAAAAATGATTGCATGACTTTGTTAACTTTATGACATGAAAACGTCATAAAAACAATAGGTTTTATAACCAAAACAACAACTTTGCACGTGCATCAGGCTCGTTTGTACATTTCTTTACCCGTTTTTGCACGACTACGACGTGAAAATGCCTAATTTCGCGTTTTATGGAGTACGTAAACAAACAATGATGAAATGCTATTTCCCTTTCTGAACTTGGGTATGGTCCCTAGGAATTCAACTCCAGGAGGGTTCGCTTACATTTATAAAAGTATTTTCACTATTTTCATAGAAATGTTTGCAGTGATATAATAATAATAATATTAATAATAAACGGCCAAAACGATCATAGGGAAAAATCGGGGAATTTTTAACAGGCCCTACCTACATCACGCCCCCCCACCACGTTTCTAGTTTCCTCAATTCAATTTCAATGTGACGACAGCAGATACGTGTACGTTAAATAATATTGCTCAAAAGCGAAAGCGACTCATGTCACCACCTTACACTCGGGGACCAAACTGTGACACGTTTATATACTTTCACTTATGAACAACACGTCAGTTCTATTACATAAGGAAACAGCTGAGAAACAGTTGTTGTCAAGTTACGCAAAACAGTCAATACAACATTTCCACGCTATCTACCGGTCTAATAACACGGTTTTAAAAATAATATGATCTTGGCTACCTAAGCCGACGTAAAAAATTTAGAGTGAAAGGTTTTATTCTATCGAATTCAAAGGACAATACTGTCTAAAAGATTCCGTGCGAATGATGAATTAGCATTGTTACTACTCACCGACTTACCTCTTAAAGTTCGACGATTCTGAAAAAACCTGGCTTGATCTCCCCTTAGGTAAGTAGGCAAGACCTCGGGAAAGTCTGAGACATCCACAGCGCAACATTCTGGAAGAAATTTTGGCAAAGAATCTTAGTTGCCTCTTCTAACGCGCGCAAGATGACTACGATAATTTACTGTTGTGTAAGTTGTCGTAATAAATGAACGAGCGGCTGCTAAGCCGTTCAAAGTCCAAGGGCAACCAAGGTGAGTTAGACCACAGGTAACCCAAGTTTATACAGTCGGGACAGTGAATGGGCCATAGAAAGCGAGTGTGTTGTGTCCGTATTATTTTAAAATGTGGGTCATGTTGTTGAAGTCAAAAACACCTTTAATTAAAACAAAATGCTAAAGAAATAAAGGAGCATCATCAAATTTAACATATCTAACCTTCACAAAGCCGTCACGTCGCGGACTAAATCCACGGGAACACTAAAAAAAATCGCTCATCTATGTATTTCTTTCGAGAATTACTTAATCAAAACCGTTCTGTGCATAACTCGTTTGATGACAAAAGTCTCTTGAAATTGACGTTTACAACTCGTCCTATACGGTGTACTGTACAACATGTAGCTGTCAACAGCTGTCAACTGCAACCTTCTTTCCAGTCTTTCTCTCTCTCTCCCACCTGACGCTCGGTTTCGCTCGGTAGGAACGAGAACCCTGGGAACAAGGTTGCTGTCAATGCAAGTGAAGGTTTTTTCTTTTTTCACCTTTATTAACGGAAAGGTTCAAGTCCATTTCAGCTCACAGTTGATAACTGTGGCCTTCATTATATTAACAAGTTGAATTTCTATAACTGAATCAGTTGATTGGGCCAGAAAAAAGTTTCCGTTTTGACCGCATTGAGAAAATGTAAGGGTTTTCCCGCCAGGGACAAAAAAAACCCGTCCGTAATAACGAGATGTCCGGAGCGGTGGGCGTCCGCAAAGCGGGGTTCGACTATTTTTAGGATTCTTGTGCTGAAACTTCGTAACTGCCTGAAATGCCTTCGCTTGGCTGCCAATATTCACTCGACCTTCAGATCTCACTGAACCCCTTGTTAAAAGCAGCCAGATTGTGTGTTTCCTTAGTGAACTGAAGAGTATCGCTGAGTCATGACCGTTCGGTTCGAATCCTGTTCAAGCCTGATTTTTAAGCTTTAAAATCACAACTGCTAGATTTTTAGTCGTGCATTTAACTGCGAGAAACTTTGATCAGGACAAAAAGCTTCAAAATTTTTCACGGAAGTATTCTGTTTAAAGTAATTTTGATAGCAGTATTTACTTGTATATTTATCTATAGACTCAGAAATGATGACGATAATGATGATGATGATGATGATGATGATAATAGCTTTATATGGTTACTTATTCATTATCTCTTCTTTCAAAAGGAAACAAGTGAATTATCATCTGATTGGGTATAGCTACGGACAGCCCTGCGAGTTTCAGCAAATATAGGACCGTGTAGGATAATTTCCCCCCCCCCCCCCGGGTCTGGTTTTTTGGTCGACACGAAGAAGGCACACCCCCGGGGAAGGCAACAGTATTCAAGAAGAGTTAGGTTTTTTCCGAGGGTGGGGAGCTGAGAGCGGAGCGGGCAGGGAAAAGAG